AGAAGACCTCTAGAATAGATCTTGTATTAGAACAGGCTTATGAAAACATGAACATTTGATGAATTAGATAAAAACGCATAAATGGGATTCATAGACCAAACTAGAGGATCACTCGTTTGGGAATGCCCGATCTAATGTTGATCAATCGCTATATTGTTGTTGCCTTAACTGACTACAGTTAAGTGTCCGAATCATTTGCCTTAAACTAGTGATAATTTAAGTGTCTGATTGCCTTAACTGACTGCAGTTAAGTGTCCGAAATCAATTGCCTTAAACTAATGATAGTTTAAGTGTCTGATTAATGATTGCCTTTTAAGAATCTGGTTATAGAAATTATGATCTAGCCTTAGATTAAGATTAGCTAAGAGCATTATTATGATCTGGCCTTAGACTAAGAATAGCTAATAGCATTGTTATAATCTGGCCTTAGATTAAGAATAATTTAAGAGCACTATTGAAATAGTATCTGAATTGAATAAAATGTGTTGATATGAACTGAACAATACCAAAACTGTGAATGTCTGAAATGAACATTGTGTGCATGATATCAAATGATTTGATTATGAATTTAGATTCAGTTTATATGGATGTTCGACGCATTAGATATGCTTACTCAGCTTTACCACTGAGCGTGTAGTGTGTTTTATTTGCTACACGTAGGTAAGCAGAAAGCAGAATGTGATCCTGGTAGCAGATGGGGCGAGATTGTCGGGATGGATGTGACAAGTTTTGAAACAATTTATGATATGTCAATATTAAAATCGCTTCCGCAATATTGTTGAATACTCCGTATTGTATATGTATTGAAAAATATTATTGGGATTAATAAAGTGTGTTTGAAAAGTGTTAAATTTTTACGATTACCAAGTTAAATACTTTAGTCCGAATGGGGCTGCAGACCTGGACGGATTAGGGTGTTACAATGAGTTTACGGTAATGCCCTTTGGTTTGACCAATGCTCCAGCAGTATTCATGGATCTCATGAATAGTGTATTCCGACCTTATCTTGATCAATTCGTGGTTGTATTCATCGATGATATTCTTGTCTATTCGAAGAATCGAGAAGATCATGCGAAACATTTGGAGATAGTACTCAGCATACTACGGGAACATAAACTATATGCCAAACTGTCAAAGTGTGAATTTTGGCTTAATGAAGTTACGTTTTTGGTACATGTGATTTCTCAAGAAGGTGTTAAGGTAGACCCCAGTAAAATATCTGCCATCACCGAGTGGAAGGTTCCAAGGAATGTTCGTGAAGTGAGAAGCTTTCTTGGATTAGCTGGATACTATCGACGATTCGTTGAAGACTTTTCCTCGATCGCAACTCCACTCAACAAACTCCTAAGGAAAGACGTGAAATTCGTGTGGACCAACGCATGCCAACAAAGCTTTGAAAAACTAAAGAAATGTCTGACAGAAGCACCTGTACTGACACAACCAGTACCAGGTGTAGACTACACAATCTTTAGTGACGCATCTCATAACGGCTTGGGATGTGTACTTATGCAAGACCGTAAGGTCGTGGCATATGCATCAAGGCAGTTGAAGCCTCATGAATGTAACTATCCCACCCATGATCTTGAGTTAGCAGCAGTTGTATTTGCTTTAAAAATATGGCGTCATTATCTCTTCGGAGAAACAAGATATATTCATACAGACCATAAAAGTCTGAAATACCTGTTAACTCAGAAAGAGTTGAATCTGAGGCAAAGAAGATGGCTGGAACTTATCAAGGATTATGACTGCTATATCGACTATCATCCTGGTAAGGCTACCGTAGTTGCTGATGCGTTAAGTCGGAAGATGGTAGCCGAACTCCGAATCCGACCAACTCTGGAAAATGAAATTCACTTAACGCAAAAGAATGATGATTATTGTTTGAAGACTTGTGAACTTGTCTCTAAGGGGGAGAGACAAGACTTCACTGTGAATGACGGAATTTTATTCTACAGGAATCGTTTGGTAGTTCCTAGTGGTGAAGTGAAAGAACGTTTAATGCGTGAATCTCACGAAACCACATATACCATGCATCCTGGTAGTAATAAAATGTATCA